GACTGAGGGTCCCAACCCTGCCACAGAGCCGTGGCGGGATGCCACCACCTCGACGGAACCTGCAGGCCAGCCCCAAAAGCCTTAAAAGTCATGGAGGGGAGGATTCGTGGCAGAGACGGAGAGCAAAGCACGCACAGCTCCAGCTGCGGCTTGCCTAAGCACCCTCTGGACGCGGCACGGGGCTGGTGTGGTGCGTATCGCCATGCCCACCCTGCATCCCCAACCCCAACACTGCCAGCTCCCACCCCTGTTGGTGTAGCTCTTTTGCAGCCCCAGCTCTCAGAGGCAGCTCCAACATCCCCAGCCCCAAGCACCTGCCAGCCACGATGCCTCCAAGGGCAACTGGGGGCTGGGACTCGCTCCCCACACCCGCGGACAGATGGGCATCCCGGTTATCAGAGGCTGTACTCTCCCAGGTCTAGGTTGCATATTTCCTTGTTGCCGGATGCCGGGGGCATGAAACATTGTCGGCACGCTGTATCCGCTTGCCCGGGTGCGAAGAGCGCTGTATTTCAGAGCTAGCTTTGCTAGCTAAGTGCTCCCTTGTAAGAACGCAGAGCATCGTTTAAGTACTTAAATCGCCGCTGCATCAGAAAACCGATAACGGATTTTCCTACCATTTCTGTTTTTTCCAAGATTACCAGCCGGATGCTTGCAACAAGCCCCATCCAGCAAGTGAGACCAGCCTGAAACTGTGGGATAAGGCTGCCCAAGTCACTCACGTCCCCTACAAATGACCGCCTTAGTGCAGGCTGCTCATCAGGTCGCACGTCCCACGCTGAGAAGTGCTCATGACAAACCCAGGCCCCATTTTAAGACGTAAACCTATGATTGTGCAACGTAACCGTGCCCTATTGAGCCTATATGGTGACAACAGTGGGTCCATAAGGGTTTAGGAGTGAAGATGAATACGGTCAGGAGAATTATCACTTTATGAGGCCAACTGACGGAGGTAGAGGGAAAAAACGAGGTGAGCTGGGGATGTCCAAATCCTTCATCAAGTAGAGCCACTGCCCAAACTTCTCCAGCCCTGCATGGCACAGGCTGTCAGATGCTGAATGGGTTAAAATATGGGACTGAGGGGACTTCACCTCTTCCTCTGGCACCTGGTTTCTCCAGCAGTATTCAAAAAGAAGAGGGGATGAGAGAGGACAAAACAAAAAAGCGAGAATCCCCTTGCAAGCACCAGGCTGGCCACTTGGCACCAAGTGACTCATCTGCCTTCAAAAGTGTTTTTATTTTGGCCTGGGCGGCTGGGTTATTTGAGGTGAAAGGAGGTCACTTTGTCCATAAAACAAAAGCCCCATTCCCTTTCATCCCCAGAGAGAGGGAGGAGGGAAGAGAAACCATGGGAGGCAGACGGATGCTCCTCTATATATAGAGGGAGAGGAAGAGGTGTGAGAGCGGGAGCGGAGCTTGCTTCCTCGCCGCGCCGGTCAGGCCAGCCCCAGACCCGCCGTCCCAGCCAAGCTCCGGCACAGGGCTCCTTGGCAGAGGAAAGGTGGAAGGGGAGATGAGAAGAGGAAGGGTAGCTGACACGCAAACCCTCGCTGCTCGGCTCAGTGAGAGGAAAGATGTGCGCCCAGGGCATCCCCAAAATCACCGCCTGCCCACAACAGCCGGGGGGCCGTGAAAACATCCCACTGCTCAGTTGGGACGGGGCAGGGCCGTCACCCCCGGCGAGCTGCAAAGCCACCTGCAGCTCAGTCGCTTGCCCAAAGTGACACAGCCGAACCCTGGCTGCTGCTGGATGTCGGATCCCTGTGCATCACCCTGCCCAACCTCATCAGGCAGCGTCAGCCAAGTCTGGCTGAGCGTCCAGGATGGAAAGGGACATCCAGGCTGGGAACGAACATCCAGGCTGGGAAGGGACATTCAGGGTCACCTCCTAACTTTGCAGTGCCCCATTCCCTGCACGGGCAGACTGGAGCCTAGCTCTTGACTCCACTACTCCAAAAAACACCCTGTTACTTGAAAGTGACTTTTTAATTCCTTTTCCCGGGGCAGAGGCAAGACTGTCAAATGCATGGCACTGCATGCAGCTGGTATGTCCATCCTCTTCCTCCCTGTTTGGCTTTGCATCTTTCCTGTAGTCAGTCGCTCAGTGGGCAGCACGACACAGGGTCTTCCCTCTCCCAAGCAGAGCAGGAGACTGAAACACCAGGACAAGGCATCACACTCAAGGCACCTTCGCCCATAGATTACTGAACATCCATCCATCCCTACTGGTTTATTCCTCCTCCTCCCTGTTTACCAGCTAATCCGTTGTCCAGCTCGTGCCAATGGCCCAAACCCCAAAGCATCCCAGTGGAAAGCTCCAGGCAAATGTCCCGAAGCCACCTGCACTCTGCAGACAACAGCAACACTGCATTTTTTTCACCCTAGCTGCGCTGCAAAAGACATCACTCTTCAGCAACAGGTTCACCAGCAGCGAGCCAGGAGACCACCAAGTGTGTTTTGGGAGCAGCCTAGAAGCTGCTGCTATACCTGAGCAAAGCCTGCCCAGAAAGGGGGAGCGCTCGGCTCCCTGTCTGCGCTCAGGATGCAGCACCGAGGCAGCGAGGTTTAAAAACAAGCCAGGGCCCAAGCTCAGCAGAGAGCTGGCTGCAGACATCCTCATTATTTTAATGACTTGCCTGCACCGCTGGTGAGCCAATCGCCTATGGCTCCCCAGAGACATTCCACCTTCCCGAGCATCGAATGCAGGACCCAGTTTCACCATGGGACTAGACAGAGCCTAAAACCGGCGCAAGGTGGGTACGTCTCACCCTGAGCACACCCCTTTCCATGCTCCTCTCCTGGCCTTCTGCCATCTACAAATCTATGAGGTGATCACAAAAAGCACCAGGCTGGGAAACCCCTCCTCTTTTCCCTCCCAGCCCAGCTCCACCGAAGCAATGGGGTGGGGGCAGCATCCTGCCTGCTGTCGGTGGCCGCCTGGCACTTACTGAAGTCCCGCAGCCCACCGGCGTGTTGCCTCCCAGCCCCCCGCCGCAGAGGGTCTCCGCCGTGCCGTACGCTGCGGCCGAATCCAGCGCGTAGGCCAGGAACGCCAGCAGCAGCAGCAGCATCCGCCTCGCCGCGCACATCCTCTGCACCTGGGGACAGAGGCACAGCGTTAGCACAGCGCAAGAGACCCCTCTCTGCCACCTCCCCCAAGCAATGTCCCCCCACCACCACCCCAGCACGCCTGGGGTTTGACGCTCGGACACGCCGGGATGCTGCAGGGAAGGACGGGTGGTGCGGAGCCAGCTGCCGGTGCGAGGCTGGCTCCC